TATTGGTTTTCTGCCAATTTATGTAGCGGACAAAAGGTTGGGTCCAGCTCCGATATATTCAAATTATAAATATCTGTCTGTCTGTCTATCTTTAGGTATTAATGCGTTGATCCTAGAGATTCGATTCGAATTCTCGATAAATCGTTCTGGTTTTATGAAATCGATAAGCAACGATAGCAATCGCCTTTTCTTTTTTAGGCATATGAGAAAGCCATTCTTCTCGAACTTATGCTTCAACGAAGCCCTGGCAATGATCGGACCATGAGCACCGAACTTAAATAACAAGGCATGGCAAGAAGAAGCACGGTCTGCAGGGCATCGCCTAGTCGGGCACACCCGTCTAGAGCACTCTTGTTGGTTTCATTTGATAGTTTTTTGGTCTAATCATACGGTAAAAGTTTGCTTTTGGCAATTGCTTATTTTAGTAATTGGCACTTTTTGGCTGTTATCGATAACTGTGCGTGACCAGTGCTGCCACACGCCAAGAAAAAAAAAACAATACAAAACAAAGCAAAGGTATAGAAAAATTAATCAACTTTTTGCTTGATGCGTCGTTTCTGGCTGATTTCCAGGTGCGTTTGCCTGTTTGTTATTTATGAAGTGCCCAACCGCCCTCCGAGTGTGGTTGGCGAACCACTTTTGGAGATGAGCTGCGCATTATTTTTTTTTTTTTGGTTTGTTGTTGTTGTTTTTTTTTTATATTTTTTTTTCTGCTCGTCCAGTACTTCTGCTTGCTCTTCTTCTACTGCTTGTTACTTAGCATAGCTGCTCTTACGGCTTTGGGTTTAGTTTGTGCCGCGCGCGGCTCCAAATTGCCAACTTTAGTTGTTATTTGTTGGCTGTCTGGCAGCTTGACGGCGCAGAATGTGCCGCACGATGGCCGGAGGGTTAGGGGAAGGACGGGGGGGGGGGGGGGGGGGGGGATGGGTAGTGAGGTTGTGTGTTTCGAGCCAATATGCTCGTGGCCGCAGCACTCTGATGGCTCTCACGTCACCACTTCTGCAAATTGCGGCAATAATGCAACAAAGGTTTCTTGGGAAACACACACCAAATTGCATGCGCTGCGGACCCCCCCCGTCCACCGCTTACCTACCCTTTACAGCACCAAAGGGGGAAGGGTGACGTGAGGAGGGAGGGGGGGTGTGTGTGCGGGTGTGTGCAGCAGTGGCTGGCGACTCGAAGACGCCGCCGCCGCCGCCGCCAGTCAGTCACTTGCTGCTGCTGCTGCTGCCTTTGCCGCTGGCCCTTTGCTGCATTTCATTTTGATTTTGGTTTTTTTTTTTTTGCTCAAATACCCTACTCAAAAGGGCATTATGTGCATTGGCATGCAGCTTGTAAGATGAGTTTATAGTCTGAGAAAGTCTGTGGAACTACAACTTCAACTATTTAAAAAAAAAATCGATAGTTGGCAATCGAAATGGACAATCGAGATAAAAGATATGTTTTGGTCTGAGCAACTCTGTGGAACTAGCAAGACAATCACTAGTTCCGGGCAAATTAACATAGGGATAATTTATACACACTGAAAATAGGCAGAAAGTGCCTGTTTCAATAGGTGGCAATCGAAATGGACATCGAATAATGGCAAGATAAGTTTTTGTCTAGGGAACTCTGTGGAACTACGAGCTATACAACTATAAAGGGAATCACAAGTTCCGAGCGAGTGAATATAAGCATATTAAATCGCAGTTAAAATTTGCAAAAAGTTGCAAAATTCAAATTTCGATAGAAAGTAATCGATTAAAATGGACAATCGAATAATAGCAAGATACGTTTTTGTCTAGGGAGCTCTGTGGAACTAGTCAAGTAATCACTAGTTCCGAGCGAAAATAAACGAATTTATGCGCTTCAATATCTATCGATTGGTAGCAAAAATCGATTGAAATGGACAATGGGATTGATGGCAACGCCAGTACATTGAAATCTGGCAGCCCTGCTCAGATGAGCGTTTAGAACAAATAGAACAGGTTCCGTTACATCTCAACAGCTCATTGAACAGCAATTGCGCGCCTCACAATTTTCCTTAATGCATATGGAGGATATTCAGTCTTCGGCGTGCCGTAAAATATTGTTGTTTTTTTTCTGTGGTATTTATTTTTACTCTTTCTTCTTTTTTTTATGGTTTTTTTTTTGTTTTGTTATTTTCTGTTTACATTTTCAGTTGCTGCTGTTGCGGTTTCCGCTTTGGTTTTCATGTTGCAAGCAACATTTTTGCTTGTAATTTAGTTTGGAATGCCGTTGCCGGTGCCGCTGCTGTTGCCGTTGCCGCCGCGGTTTTCTAAGAAAAATCTTTGTTGGCCAACCTCTTAACGGTGTATGGGGAATTCGCGTAATTGCAACAACGCGAGCGCTCACTGGCTCGCTCTCCCTCTCCCCCACCATCTGCCCCGCCCACTCCCTTTCTCAGTGTGTCCTTTAAGTGACTGTTGACTGACGGCAGGCAAATCAACTGACAATGCAACTGATGCGGGCTTTGCCAACCGAAAAAAAAAAGAAGCAAAACGAGAAGAAAATACAAGTACAAACGTAAGGCAATAAAACAAAGGCATTGCACATTGCTCATACGCCGCGTGGGCATGCAACTTGCGGGCGTGGCGGTTGGGCCGAAGGCGTCGGCCCAAGAGTTGCGGGCTCTTACATCTGAGGTTCGGCGAGGTGAGAGCCAATTCACACCTTTCCTTTTGGCCGCAATCCCGCATGAGCAACATTTTCTCGGCAAATTTCATTTGCAGTTTATTTCTTAAGCTGATAGTTTGGAAAATTTAAAGTTTATTTGTATTATTTTAATTGTTATTTATTAGTTACCTTCATTGTCATTGTCTTTGTCATTATCATTATTGTTATTATTCATTATTTACCATCATTGGCAACCAATAGCATTATTCATTATTCATCATCGCTGTTACTGTCATTGTCATTGTCATTGTCATTGTCATTGTCATTGTCATTGTCATTGTCATTGTCATTGTCATTGTCATTGTCATTGTCATTGTCATTGTCATTGTCATTGTCATTGTCATTGTCATTGTCATTGTCATTGTCATTGTCATTGTCATTGTCATTGTCATTGTCATTGTCATTGTCATTGTCATTGTCATTGTCATTGTCATTGTCATTGTCATTGTCATTGTCATTGTCATTGTCATTGTCATTGTCATTGTCATTGTCATTGTCATTGTCATTGTCATTGTCATTGTCATTGTCATTGTCATTGTCATTGTCATTGTCATTGTCATTGTCATTGTCATTGTCATTGTCATTGTCATTGTCATTGTCATTGTCATTGTCATGTCATTGTCATTGTCATTGTCATTGTCATTGTCATTGTCATTGTCATTGTCATTGTCATTGTCATTGTCATTGTCATTGTCATTGTCATTGTCATTGTCATTGCCATTGTCAAAAAAAGAGTTTCTCTAAAGTTTGGCAATAAACCGTTAGTGGAATGAAAGTTTAAACGTTGACATACAGCTTTGGAGAGGAAAGAGAGCTACACCAAAACACGTTTAAACAACAAAAAGTGTTAATCAGAGCTCTGTACTCGGCCAGGCTTGCCACCTTAAAGCCCATATTGAACGTGGGCAGAAATTTTCAGTCAGACCGTGAAACAAAGACACAAAGGGATTCGACCATAGGAGCAGGGTGCCTAAGTGAGGGGCTAAAGGGCGTGCAGGGTCGGGGCAGACATAGCTTAGCAGGTATTGGTAACACCTATTTTCAAACAATTTGCACCGCACGCTGCGCACAGCTCGCATTCGCATTCGTTCATTCACTGATTCACTAGCACATTTCCGATGCGCCCACTCGCCCCATTTCCTTTCACTGAACACACTTCCGTTTGTAGCTAATTTTTGTTGTTCATCGATTCGCTGGGCGTGGCAGGCGGTTTTTCTGTTTTGATGGCTGCGTTTGGACTTGGGCAACAAAAATTAAGTCGCAGCGTGTGATTCGCTTGGACCAAGGCAAACTTTAACCTCACCTTCAGTTCTTGGCTTGCAATGCCTCTTTGGCCACGCCCAGGCTCTCTCGTCACAACGCTTCGTTTGCAATTAATTCACTATATTCACATCACGTCCGAGATTCCATCACCAAACAATTTCATACGTATTAACGCGATGTCGAAAGTGAAAAGAGGGCTAAACAAAAAAAAAATAACACAAACATCCAAAAGTCACCCTCAGCCCACCTCAGTGACCCTTGAGCCCACGCTTCACAGTCAGGGGAGAGACCTGCGAGGTATTCTACATAGGTTTCTTTTGACTACGGTGTTGGCTTTCGTGTTCACGTGTTTTTTTTTTATTGTACACGAACTCGTTGACAAATTTATTTTTTAATAACTTCTTTGTTTTACGAATATGATATAGTTATCGGATCAAAAAAGTACCATTCAAATGTGTGATTTATCGGAAAGTGAGGCGAGGTGCCTAGACACCTAATTGGGTATATCTTGCGGTTAAAATCTGTATAATAAACTTAATTTTTGTGACTGGAAATAGATATTTATCAATTTGTAGGGGATGTATCGAAATTTGACCACATCAAGATTAAGCTGTAAGTTTTTCGGATGTTATCGTTTGCAATAATCTATTCGATTAGTTATCGATTTATTTATTGATTTAAGCACACATATCAAAAGGCTTAAAGAAATGCAAAACTAAAACGCACTGAAATCTAAAAAATGTTTGCCGTCCGCATAATTTACTTTCTTTATAGACATATCGATAATCGATTGTTCGATATATCTCGGAGAGGAATTGAAGTGTTTCTTTTTCGGGGTAAGAAAATACAATTTCGATTGTTGATAAATTTATAAAAAGAATATGAAATAATTTTATATATTTTGCTGAGCTTCGTGAATGAAAAATAAAAGATAAAGACACGCGCTCATCTCTAGCCCGGGCCTGGGCCCAATCGAAGATTTGGCCTCTGCGATATGCATTTGGGATCTGCCCTCGGCGTGTGCCCATTCACATGCCGAATGTGTGAAATGGTTAGGAGGTTCAGGCAGGTGCAGAAGCAGCCAGGAAGGGAAGGGCGGTTAAGTTAAGCACACAGACGCCGCCTTGCCTTAGGGTCAAGATTCGAACCATTAAAATGAGTTCGATTTAATTTCATTAATTTGCACATACAAAAGGTATTAAGCAGAGGCTCTGGCCGGGAGCCGGGAGCAGAGCTGAGGCTGCCATTCAAAAAATGTGCTCTTAATTTTGGTAATTTCGTAATCTCCCCTCCCCCGCCCCCCACCCCAATAATACACAGCAGCCAGGCAGAAGGCAGCGGGCAGGGGGCAGAAGTATGCATGCTGCATGACATCAGGGAAAATCGGCTGGGCAGCGATTTTTTCATGATTTTCCATATTAAAGCAATGATGCCGCAGCAAATGTTAAGAGAGCAAAAGCATTCTTTTTTTATACACTGTTCACATATATGCTAAGACGAGCATATTGGTTTTGTAACGGTTTGAAAGCTCGTATGCCTAAAGTTTAGGGCTCGAGCCTTTGTGGCAAAAAGATTTCGTAATAAAAATACAATTTTCTGAATGTTTCGTTTATTTGCTTTGCCTTGGGCGTAAGTTTAATTGTAATTCAAAAAGAAATCTTGGCTTCGGTTCGCGGTAAAAATGAATTGGAAGAACTGGTTTGAACCGTTGTGGTGCGGTTTGCTGGTTCGCAGCTCGGATAAATGTTCGTTTCGACAAATTTTAACACATTTCAGCCCGTAAAGAGAGTATTGCGGAGTCGTTTGCACTCGACTGCAATGTTATCACTCGTGTTTTTTTTCTTTTCTTTTCGCTTTGCTTTTTATTTTGTATTGGAGCCTGGTAATGTGTCTTTCTATTGATGTGGCAAAATGTTTGCCCGATGACTGCGCAGAAAAAAAAAACCAGAAAACAAACAAACAAAAAGCTTTGCCACTCGGCTGCGAGCCAATGAATAACAAACCCCAAATATCTGGCGCTGGCCCCCCTCTCCAGATCCATGGCCTGCCTCCCCCCCCCCCTCCCTTTCAGCTGTACCCTGTTGATGGGCCTGGCCCTGGCCAAGTGTTTGCATGAGAAGCTGTCAAAATGTTGGCAACGAAATTAATTTTGACATATGCCAAAATACGTGAAGGCTTCAACTGATGATGTGAGCGATGCGAGCGCGCTGGAAGGGGTCGGTTATGGTTGGGGGGAGGAGGGGGGTGGGTGTGTGTAGTTGGTGTGTGAGAGGGTAGCGCATTCATGTGTGTGAATTTATTAAATTTAAATTAGCGAAAAACGCGAAATACGTTCGGCAATTTATTTAATGTGTGATTTTAGGAGGAAAGGGAAAGGGAAAGGGGGGGGGGAGTGGGAGAGAGAGAGAGAATTGGGGAGAGAAGGAGAAAAAGGTAAAGAGAGGGGAGAGATACATATAAATAAACAGGGAGAGAAAGAAACTGAGAGACAGAGATAAGCGGGAGAGATAGAGCAAGAGAGGGGCAAAGTTACTGATAGGGAGAGAGAGAGAGAGAGAGAGAGATGCAAAAAGAATAGAGGGGATGAGCACAGGAGAGAGGAGGGGACTTTGGTCAGACGCAAGTTATATTCAAATATATATTCATATTTTGAAAACTTTCTTGAAAAAAACTTACCCCCTGCTTGATGAAATCCATTTCGAAACATTTGAAATATGATTTTGTGCTGAAAATAAAACCATTTAATAAGTTACAACAAATATTTGATAAAGCCAAAAATAAATTATTATATTGATAAGTGTTTCTTTAATGAAATACAATTTTTATTATATTGAGCAATGCAAAATGATGATAATCTATTTCAGCCTAATATTGTAATAAATTATAATTAGAATAACGATTTGAATACTCCCGCAGAATGTGTACAGATATTTGAGTTAATGTGAAAACAGACAACTATAACTATATTTCAACTATAAAAGTAATCGAAAGTTGTCTGCTTCTTGTAATTTGACCATAGCAAAATACCCTGTATTCAATATGGCATTAGGTTCGGCTGTCACAAAAACTAAATTCAATTGTTTCTGATCAAAATAGCTCGAGTTTATGTGTATAAAACAAAGTTAAAGCACGTTTCTAGCTAAAAATGTGTTTGTTTTTAGTTTTAGGTTATTTTTTTTTTGTGTTGGTTTTCTTTTGAATCAAGAGCCAAATGGCAAATGAAGTGAGCTGCAAAGTTGAATGCATTCAGCTTCGCTTGGCAATCGATTAGAAGCGCCAAAGGCCATGCAAAGCCACAGCCGGCGTTGCCGGATCTCAAAAGTGTTGCGTTTGCGAGGCGTTGCCAATTACTCAATGGGATGAATGACACCCAAATGGCCAATCAGCTGACAACCAAATGCATATGCAGTATGTCACACACACACACACACACACACACACACACACACACACACACACACACACACGCACGCACACGCACACAGCTAAAAGGCTAACGGTTAACAGGTGAGCTGAAGCCTCGCTGCAAATGCTGCCGCAGAGCGTGTGTGTGTGTGTGCGTGTGTGTGTAATGTGCAGCCAAAAAGCACACACACACACACACACCCACACACACACACGCGCGCGCGCCAAGTGGCCCCTTAAAGTGCAGTCTCTCTTGCGCTCTCTCGCTCTCTCTCTCTCTCTCTGGCACTTGCTATTTGCCGTCTCTGTCGCTCGCTGAAGTGCTTGGCAAGTAAATTTGAAGAAACAATTTTCAGGAATGACTTAACTTTTGCGTTTATGTGAAAACTTTGGCAACGTGATGTTATGCGAACTAGCAAAGGGAGAAGGGGGCGTCGGGGCAGTGTAAAATGTAGGGCATTCATATATACATACATACATATATGCATACATATATGTATATGTATATGTGTATGTGTATGGCTGCTGCCTAGTTGAAGCGCAGCGAGAGGCTCTGATCGAGATCCAGGTCGCGCGTTATGTAGCCCAAATCGTCGCAGTTGATGCAGCCCTTGTGCTGCGCGAGCTGCAGCTGCAGTTCCGGCTCCTGCGGCAGCTCCGGCTGCTGCACCTGCTCTCGTTCTCGTTCCCGTTCTCGTTCTCGTTCCCGTTCCGGCTCCGGCTCCCTGTCCGGCTCGCGCTGCTCGAGCGCCTGGGCAGCCATTAACTTCTTTAGCTTCCAGCGCATCGAGCGGAGTTCGCGTCGCGTCGCCGGCAGCCGGCCGAGCAGCTCATCGCACTGATCCGCACTGAGCAGTCCATCGCCGTCCGCATCGTACATGCCCAGCAGGGATTGCAGTTTCCGCTGCAGCGGTTCGCTGCGCCGAAAGCGAGAGAGGCCATGCATGAAATGGCGAAAGCCCAGCGATGGATACAGATACACATCGACCAGCCGATCGGCCAGCGGATGAGCAGCCACCGGCGGCACTTTAAGCAGCTCGCTGCGCAGCACCCGGCCCTCGGTGTCACGTTCCAGCGATTGATATTGGCCCAGCAGATAGTCGATGCGCAGCGGCGAGAAGCCCGATTCGTTCTGGATCTCCTGTAGCTTCTCTGCGCTGAGATGACGCGATGCAACGATGCCCATTGGGAGAGCACGGAGCACCTGGAATGACAACAACACGACACGGCACGGCACGGCACGGCACGAGACGACACGACACGGAAAAAGATGGCAGCAGCGGCAGCAACAACAACAACAGCTCCAACAACAACTCCAACAACGACGACTTTCTCACTATTTTTATTCAAATGTTTGTGAGTATTTTCTGAGAAGCAGAGAGAGAGGGAGAGAGAGGCAGAGAGAGGGCGAAAGAGAGTGAGAGCAGCGAGAAATTGAGTGAGGGAAAGGGCCAGAGAGAGTGAAAAAAAGTGTGTGAGAGTGAGCGAAAGAGCGTGTATGGGTGAGACAGACGGAGAAAGAGAGAGAGAGAGAGAGAAGGAGAGAGAGAAAGAGAGAGAGGGAGAGAGAGTGAATGGTCTAGCTTTTATTTTTCCATTTTCTCTAAGCCTGCCCTAGTTGTACGTACAAAAATATTTCAACAAATAAATGTCATTCGGTTTTCATCAAAGCGAACTAGTTCGCGCCTGGAACCGTGAACCGAACCAGCCGCAGATAAAATAGCACCAGAAACAAATATATATATTTTAGACAAAGAAAATAAATAATTTCAATAGATTTATATGAACCAAACTAAACGTTTTGAGGGAACTGCAAAAAGCCAGCAAAAAGCCCGCAAAATATGTGGAAAAAAATCGTATAAAACTTTTAAGTCTTCCATTCAATCGAGTAGCAGAGTAGACTTAAGAGTTGGTAATTAAATATAATTTAAAACATAACAAATTTGACAAATTTTATATCAGCTTGTTTTCATATACAGCTACAATTCGGGAACGATAGGTGAGCGCAATAAAGCACACTTTTAGCTTAAAGCCTTACACATATCTAAATATATTGTATGCAAAAAAAGCTCACTAAGGGCTAAGACTTTACTACTCTACCCGGAGCTCTACTCACTACTCACCTACTATATTAATGCACATTAAAGCTCGCCTTTAGCTCAAAGCTCTACTTTAAGCTCTGCATATGCTAGACAAATTAAAGCTCGCACAAGGTGGCAAGCTCTATTTGAAGCTTTAATACGATCTACACATCTAAGCTACGAGCTTAACGATTAAATTAAAACTTTATCATAACCTCACTTTAATGAGTTGCGCTTAAAGCAACTTTCGGAATGCTTGAATTGTCGCTTAAAATAATAAAGAAATATTATTGTGAGTTATTTTACGAGCGGCCCACGAATTTTAGAGACACACTTTGCTTCATCCGGGAATGGAAATTAAGTTGTAAGTGCAATTTGTGTAACTAGATAAATGGGGGCGTCTGCTGAGAGGCGGTTGGCATAGCTGGGCTGGGCTGAGGGGGAAGGTGTGGCGTGGTGGCCAAATCTCTTTCGCACTTTCCCTCTCTTGCATTCTCTGCTCGAATTCTGTCGCGCACGCTTTTTTGTCTGTTTCACTTTGCTGGTTTTTGCGACTGATTGCATTTTTATCCCTTTACACACAAAATCCATGAAATATGCACACTAACTCATGCGTATTTTATAATAATAAAAGCGCACGGTGAGCAGCCAAAGAGATGAGCGCGGAAGAGAGAGGCAGAGACAGAAAGAGAGAGAGCGAGAGAGAGAGAGAGAGAGGGAGAGACTTATATAAGAAATATATGTAAAATCAACAATGGAACAATGGTACTTTATATTAACGGCACAGCAGCAAGTACCCGTTACCCACTAACCGTTACTCGGTACCCGGTAGTCACAGCCCGTTATTCTTTAGCCGTCATCCACAAACCGTTACTTGCTAGCCTGAACCCGCTACTTACTAACCGTTACCTGTTATTCGTTACCCTATATCCGATATCCGGTACCCTAGTACCCGTTACTTGCCAGCCAGTACCCGCTACTCACAACCCTTTACCAGTTACACGTTGCCCCGTATTCGTTTATCGTTACCCACAAACCGTTACTTGCTAATCTGTGCCCGCTACTTTCTACCCATTCCTCGCTACTCTTAAACCAGATATAGTTTATCTGTGGCTCTTAGCCAGTAGCGATTACTCACTACCCGCTCACCGATATCGGTTACCCACTACCCGATACTCGTTTTTAAGTATCCGCTACCCGCTACTTGTTACTCGTTATCCAATACTTTTTTCCCAACACCCGCTACCCAATACCCGTTACGCGTTACCAGATACTGACTACTTACTACCAATCTCTTCGTGGTTCCCCCTTCGCCAAGCGATGCATAGACTAAAGATGCAGGGTTCGATGCGCTGACTGTCAAATCCATCCCACCACCACCTTGACACTGGCTACGTGTGGCTGGCGCCGTGGGGTGTCACAGGTGGTAGCTGCTGTCAAATCGCTTGACACGTGTGTCTGCCTGTTGTTAAGGTGGCAGCTGACAGACAAATCGCTGGCTTGTGCCACGGGCGGCAGCTTAGAGGCGCAGCTTATCCACTTTGCGTACAGATGTGGCAACCCTGGCAAGCCTGGCCACCTGTCATCGAATCGAATATGGCATGCATAAGTTGGCTACTTGACAATTGCTTAATATTTAACGCAATGCGTCGCGGCGCGGCTCGGCGCAAAGTGCATCTTAAGCTGATCCTTTGCCAGAGTTGCCACAGCTGTTTGATCCGCCAGCCTGCTGATTGCCACTTCATTCAAGCGATCCGAGCATCGTTATGGCCACAAAGCAACGTTCCGACAGTCGTAACTCAATCTATGTGCACTACCCATAATTTAGCCAGCCAATTTTACATTGGCCTGAATACCCTGATTGCGGGTACTTCGAAATTTCGACTGACTGACTGACTGATTGATTGACGTTGTAAGAGCTGGAAGATTATCGCTACCTTTATTGGGTTCATGCACAATTTCGCACATTTGTGTGGAAATTCGCTCAGCTTTAAGTTTGTTGCTAAAAAATTGGTGACAATTCAGTGTAGATTTATTTCGAAATGATGCCTAAGGTTGTATGCGCAAAAGTTTCATCTAAAAGCTCATTTTTGGATTAATTGCCATGGGAATGGGCAGCATCAAAGCTGGGCTCACGCATGCGAGTTTGTCTCTTGCCTGGCCCTGATCAGGATAGTGTATTGAATATTCGTTCTTTCTCTACTTGTTCCTTTTTGTCACGCTTCTGTTTGCATCTATTGTTCCATTGGCCGTCTTTTGGTCTTTTCCGTTTCCTTTTCTTTTTGCATTATTGCTTTTCATGCAGTTGCAGCAGCTGCTTAAACGTGTTCCAAATACGCAATACGCCTTATTTCGAAACCGCCCCCCCCCCGCCCCTCCTTAAAGGAAATATTTATATATATATGTATAAAAATAGAGATAAAGAGAATTTGGTATGCGAAATTGGCATTCGCCGGCGTCCCATTCGGTGCATACGAATGAATATTTCGCCTAACTCTTCGCCTGTTTTATTAGCCGTCATATAAACCAGGCTTTATGCGCGCCACGCCCCCCACTTGGCAGTCGCCCACCTGCTCTGAGCTACGTTATGAATAACTGCAGCAAATGACACCGCACAGATTTTTCGGCTGTTGATCATTTTTGGCCCAGTCTCGAGCCGCCCACCAAATCCCCAGGCTAGGTTCCGACAGCCACGCCTATAATATTTTTAAATCTAGCCCAACTCTTGCGAGGCATTAACCATTGAGTACACTCAGCGAAATTGTGCAAGAGCTCGAGATGAAAAGAAGCCCATTGACCCGATTAAAAGGAAATCTGAGCAGATGGCGAGTTTGAATCCTAGAATTTGTGTGTGGTGGTCACTGGTTCAAACCTAAAACTTTTTCTGGTTTTGGGATGCTATGTTTGTGTACGTACAAAATTTGGGCTTCTCTTCTCTTCCCTCTTCTCTTTTCCTTCTTCACTCTTCTCTCTTCCCTGTTTCCTCTTCACCCTTCCCTCTCCCCTTCGGCCTTCTCTCTTTTCTCTTCTCTCTTCTCTTTTCTGTCTTCTCTCTTCTCCTTTCCTTTTTTCTCT